CCTAATTTTCATTACATTTTCAGATTCAAATTGATGTCCTTAAGCTACGTAGAAAGTTTGAGCACATTCTGACAAGTATTTTTCAAGTTATGAGCAATTTAAAAAATGGGCCAATTTTTGGAAAAATGGCTATTATAGCCCATGGTTTTTTTCAAAAAATCGCTCCAAAATTACCCTCAATTTTTATTACATTTTCTGATATACATTGATGTCCTTATGCCATGTACAAAGTTTGAGTTGATTCTGACAAATAATTTTCGAGTTATAAGCATTTTAAAAATCGAGCGAATTAAAAAAAAAATAGCAAAGGCTATAGCCTATGGTTTTTCTGAAAATTGGATCCAAAATCACCCCTAATTTTTATTACATTTTCTGATACACATTGATGTCTTTATGCTACGTAGAAAGTTTGAGTTGATTCCGACAAATTATTTTTGAGTTATGAACATCTTTAAAATGAGACAATTTTAAAAAAAGCAATGGCCCATGGACTTCCAATATAGTACCATGGTCTTTGGTCATGTACTGTACATGTTAGTCTGGCCCTGCCCCTTCGCTACCTGTGGAGGAAGGGTCTGGAGACACTCACGGTAAAAATGTGTGCTTCATGCAGTGAATTCCATGTCCCAATCAAATTGCCTGAACCATGTGTAGGAGAAGTACATGTAGTTGTGTGACCGAAGAGCTCTGTTTAAGACAAGAGAAGAAGAATGAGGACCAAATAAAGGCTGGAAGGAGCCTGTAACACTCCCTGGACTTCTTTCTCAAGGTTTAAGAGCAGCATTATTATGCTGCTTACTACAATGACGCCATGGCACTTATGACGTAATCATACTGTCACGTGTTTACAATAAAACGTCATCAATAAAATGTAAATATTATCATGCTCTGTGAAGAGCTGCTGCTCTCAAATCTGCAAGAGATGTCCAAGAGACTCTGTCCTTGTCTTCTTTTAGCTGCAAAGCATCTCTTTCAGCTGTTTTGACTGATCTGGTCTTCTCTGTCACATGATGTAGAGCGAACCACGTGGTCTTCTTTGCACACATTTTTACTGTGAGTGTCTCCAGACCCTTCCTCCGCAGGTAGTGAAGGGGCAGGGCGAGGCTATGTACATGTATTTCATCAAACTAAAATTTTTAAAATGATGCATTTTTATTATATTTTCTGATGCTTAAGTACAAGTTTTTTTTACAACTGATAAGAAAATTAGATACACACACACTTAATTAATACATTAATGAAGTGACGTCTAATTAGATTAATTAAATATTAAAGAACAATGAAAGGTATTACCTTTAATTTGATAATCTATGGCTGACTATCAGATCAGTGGCCATGTTAGCTACCACTACTTGAGTGCCTTTCCAGCTCGCTTTCCAGGTCCCTCGCTTTGATCGTTTCACAATTGCCATAATTGATGGGTGTGGCAGTACTAGATGCCAGTAGGTGGGGCTTTGTAGGTGTGGCTTTAAATAAACTAATTAATGTAGTCACGTGGAAACATGTGTTCAATTTCAAATAAAATGGACTTTAGATTTCATTTCTTGTGTTGCAAGTGATTTAATATAAACTCATTCATAGTATTCCCCTCACTATCATTAGGATGTCACCTCTCAAAGATTTAAGGTCTCACAACAGTTCATCCAGTCGTTAGAGAATCAGGTTAGAGCTACAAGCCTACATGTAAGTTTTTACTAGTCACATTTTATTAGAGAACAAACTTTGATTTATGTATTGGGCTGTGCATAAGAGGAATTTAACTTTATGCTTTCACAAAGTGCAATAAATAAAGTTCTTGCTTCTTTTGACATCATTGTGTCTTGTCAATTAATATCATTAAGTCAAACTGCTGTGCTGTGAGATAGATGTATAGAGCTCAATATTAAAAGTTAATTTGCCAATTTTCCTATAAATTAAAAGTTTTTGATTCGCCCATAAATGTTTGTCCTATGTATGATTGTACTTACCATGCTTTTATTTGGTTTTTGCTTCAAAATTAGTGATAATTATTGATGATTGGTTCACTTTGCTATGCTGTATTGTTATAGTTGTGTTTGATATTGATACATGCATTAGGCTGTGCAATTTTACTTTGAATTTTGTATTTTTGATGTGAATGCTCAATTGTCAGTGCAATATCTCTGTATGTGTACACTTATAAGTGGTAGAGTCAGCAACCTACTATCACACACCATCGATATTTGAACACTTTTTCTCACAGTTCAGTGATCAGAAGCCAGTGGCTATAATTTTATCTTGTAGGTCAGATGTTCCTCTACAGCCGTAGCAACTTTCATAGAGATCCATTTTTGCTATGTTTTTATAATAATTTTTTAGTAGAAATTTTGAACACATGAAAGTTCACAT